GGTTCATTTCAACGCACTTTATGACAATACCATTATACCAATCAGAATGAATTTTTTTGCAGTGTTTTAAGAAATGATTTTACGTTGAATCCATGTATTATTTGTGAAACATTAAATGTTTAAAAGGGCATTTTTTTCTGTATAAAGTCAATAATTATGCTTTTGAAGCCCAAACGCAAATGAAAGATCCGAAAACTATACCAATACAGAACGACATGTTTTTGAAATTATAGCAAAACTTTTGGTTGACTAATTTTTATTCGTTATTACAATAATGACATCAATATTGGAAATTTTTCATACATATATACATATATATTTTTATTAAATCAGAACGTGCATATAAATGTAACAAAAAAGTTGAACAGTCGATGCCTTTTTTTAAATTTTTTTTTAATTTATTAAGCTGAAAATGAACAACAAATTGCACTTGAAAAATTTGTTTTCTTTTTACATGTACACACACGTGTATAGTAACTTAGCTAGACACTGGACGAGTCCATATTATTTTTTATCAATGAAACTAAAGGTATGAAAGGTAAGAATTACTACTTCTTATATTTTCACCAAATTTTCCACAAATAGAGTAGATACATTATTTTTGAATAGCCTATTCCTGAGAAAAAAGAGAAAATTTGTATCAGACGTTTTATTCCATTAAACAGTCATTTTTCGAGGAGAAATGCTGGAATACATTTAACGCACGGCTACGCCAGGTAACATTATTGTTTATCTTAATATAAATAAAGTCAAAATATGTCCGATCTGCCTCTTTTTGGACATCCAAATTCAAATACGATCGTTTTAAGGTTTATTTCGTCTAACTCACAAAATCTTATTAGCCACTATAGTAGCAATATACCAACTTCACCTGCATATGGGATATAAATTTCCCAACTCATTCGGTAGTCAAAAGCTTGCAGCTGCTACTCAGACTTTATAAAACGTTACCAGTGTCTGAGCAGAAAGTTGATGAACCAGGGTTTCATCAAGAACGTCTCGTCCTTTTTCTAAAAAAGTCCATTGGAAGGTACCAAGACCTTGTTGATAAATATTCCGTATTAGCTTCACACATAATACATGATGGTCTTGAAGTATAGATTCTTTGGTACTGACGTTATTTATTATCTTAATTACGCCGTATTAATGTTCTTTTATTTGTCGTTGTAAATCATTAACCTTTACTGTTTAGTCCATTTTTGGTAATATCCTTTTGGCGTGGCTCGGTGTTTATACATCCCGCCATTGTGTTATTGTGCTATAGTCATTTTTTGTATTCTTGTCTTTCATTTTTGCTTATGTGCTTTGTCTATATGCCATTTTGTTTTTCTTTGTTGACATATTTGTTTGTTTTTATAGTGATTAAGATTTTATTACAATGTTGACTGATGTACCCCTTTTTTTGACATATTTACCTATTATGTCTGTTTGGTTTGTTCACACATTGTTGTCAATATAATGGAATTTTATGTGACTGTCATACAATTGAGAGTTTAAGCTAGCTATAAAACCATGTTTAATTCACCATTTTCTACATAAGGAAATGCCTGTACCAAGTCAGGAATATGACAGTTGTTTTCCATTCGTTTGACATGTTAGGGCTTTCAATTTTGCCATTTGATAAGGGACTTTCCGTTTTCAATTTCCCTTGGAGTTCGGTAGTTTTGTTATTTAACTTTTTAATGGCATCATTGTGTAATAAGTCATGTATCTAATTTTAAACCAAGATATTATGGTTAATATCAAATATTTAAGAGCGGGTCTTTTACATGTTTCAGCTATAAAATCTTATGTTATGGAAAAGCATGATAATTGAATATCAAATTATATTAAATGGCATCATATGGTGCAAGAGTTCATATGCTAATATACATTCTGTGAGCAATTAGTTTTTATTACATGACCTGTTAAACGTGTACATTCTGTCGTGGATGCTATTTTTTAGTGAGATTGTCACCGTGCGCATGGTGCGAATACCGACATGAAAACATAAGTAGTAAGTAACTTAACATATTGTTTTTCACTGACATCTTCGCCTGCAACCATAATTTTAGTATCGTTTAAAAATGTCAAAAAGACTCATTATTTGTAAGTTTTACAATTTTACTAAGGAAAATCAAGTCTTATTTATCCTCCCCTCTTCTTAATTGTTATTTTCTGCATGAACAAATTCACTTTTACGCCTTAAAATAACATACTTTGTTTTTATTATAATATAAACAAAAATATAAGTGTCTATAGATAGCAACTTATAACATACAAATACAATTGAGTGTGGATTAATCAATACAATTACACAAATAAAATTATATATTCTCTAACAATGTAAAAACACGTTTTATATTAGTATGTGAATTAACATGATATTTGTCACAGCTTTTCAGATCTCTCAAATGAGGGAAAATTTGTTTGGTTATTTACTAATGAAAATTTGCCTGTCCTAAACTATTTAGGGAATTATGTTATTAAATGTCTAAATGTCAGACGAAAGGTAAAATAATAAGCGTCAGTAATAACGATGATAATTGTAATGATTTTATGGTTCTGGTCCTGCATGGAATACAATGTGCATGATTTATATAAGATGAAGAAATATGTGTAGCTCTATATCTTTATGACGATTTAATATTTCATTTCAATGTAAAACAAAATATTGTTTTTTTTGTTGTAGTTACAAATCATAGTGCATTGTTTTGTGTACTAGTATATAAATGTCATGCTGCCCATTAAGCGCCTTTAATTGGACTAATAAATATTCTTATTCTTATCTATGTGAATACTATAATATTGAAAATATTTACAATTCAATACAAAAAAAAACCGCAATATTTCGACAAACTAGCTTCAACGGGCTTACATCTATCCAGATGAAATCGGATGCAGATAAGGAAATATTTGCAGCTTATTGTACAGTTTGGTCAATATAATCTAGTTTTGTGTTGCGTAAAACAATGTATGACTTTCAAAATATTTTGTTAGATTTACGAAATAAGTTATTGAAGTAAGGTAAGTTTGCAACGTCAATTGGTCAAGATTACAAATATATTAAGGCCGATGCCACATAATAAACTTAATACTTGAAGTAGACATATTATACTTGTGTGACTATTTGCAGTTAGAACTTTTGCATGTCACCGAAGTATTTTGAGTCTAAAGAAGTAAATTGAAATCAAACTGATTACTGTTTTTCCCCAAATGAGACTAAATGTATGAGGGGTTTGGAGGAAGTGTTCATTTCTGTTATTTTTTCAATTCTTAGTTCATTTCTATCCATTATTTGTTTACCCATCATTCTCATTTATATATAATGTACCGCCCCATCATTCTATGATCATTTTTTTTCTAATTTAACCAACCTAGCTGTTGTTTGTCTGAATTGGTTAATTTCTGGTCATATTTTATGAATACATAGGTAGAGAAAATGTCATCCAATAAACATTCATCATTTTCGTTAATTACATTTTTTGTGCGTGTTAATATGTGAACGACAAGTTTGTATTGCATAAAATAATTAACAGAAGAAAAATTATACTGACAATCACTTCCCTGTTGACCTTAATGTGTGTTTCAAATGCTATTGATTTGTCACGTGGTTGCTTGGATAATTGCATTGTGTTAACAATGTTTATTTGGCCTAGTATGGCAGTATTTGTGGTTTTTTTTTCCAGTTAAAGTCTAATTAATTTCTGCATAATACTATGCACTTGTTTTTTTTTTTAAATAGTTATATGGTACGTTACCAACACCAATCAAAGCATTTTGCTTCAACTGTTAATAGGAACCGCTCTGAACGTCGAACAAAAACGATCCACTTTGCTTGCGGAGGGAACTTATAAGAATTCCGTGTCCTTAATTTATACAAGGTAGCCCTTGTTGTTAATATTAAACCATGTTCCCTTTCTAAATTTTAATAATTTTCAGTTAGAGCCCGATACTTTTCTCTCTGTCCCTTTTACCCAGCTTCTAACATTTTCGTCAGGGAACTTTTATCATCTATATAATTGTATTGAACAGAACTGTCATAAAATAATGAACTATGAAACAAAACTTATTTTTAAGGTATAAAGAAATGTTTCACAAGTGTGTGCACGGCAAACAACGACGACTTCTCACACACATTGATTAACAATAAGATATTGCTTCTAATATGGCATCTGCTAAAAGAAAAACAAACTATGCTAGACTTGGCCAAGCTGCTCAAAATGAACTTCCAATAGAAAATGAAAGGATATGGAGTAAATGTACATGGGACAAAATCGCACACAATACATAGCAAACATGGAAAATTATCAATGAACAGGGCTTTTATTCCTGTTCTTCATCTTGACAGTTGATGTAGGGTCTTCAACAATGAACGAATCATTCATACCCTACAACAAGGTCAAGACGGCCCCTAGCGTCGACTTAAGCGGTACTATTGATAAAAATAAACCACAGTTCACCTTCTTGCTCCCCACCCGCCTCGGAGTGCCAACTTGTGCGATGCTTGTGTACGACGGTTCTCCAGTCGAAAGCACCAGGGATACAAGAAAAGTGCAGTAATTTTGAAAGACATCGATCGCCGCTAAAATATGCCTTGAAGTTACACATGTCGGGAGCGGTCAATGAATTACATAATTTATAATTACGGTCGAGGTTTTTCAACATATATTTGTCATACATTGCCCAACAAAAGACCAATAATTTCGAAACAACAAATGATAGACAATACATATAAAATTAAAAAAACAAATGATAGACAGCACGGGGCACATCGAATATATGTAAGAAAACCTAGAAGTTTAAAATAGTATGAAAGGGCAATATACAAAACAGATGACCAGACCAGTATTTTGAAGAAATTTAACCAAACATGAAATTTTGACGGTGTATTAATATGAGAAATTCTCACATGAACAAGCACACCATAACTGTAAATATTATAAGAGCATACACCTCAAGCACGGGGAAACGTTCTACTGCCTCCACACAGCACTAGAGACAAACTCTAGAATCAAATATTTTACGCGAGCTTCTCCTTATCAAAGAACTTCCGAATTTACTGCATGGTCACGTGATGCAAAACGATGATCTCAAAAGAAGGTTAAGAAATGATGATATGTTGAAAATACAGCGAGTTGCCAACAATAATGGATATAACGGGTTCGATATACCTTTAATGTACACATTGATTCGAAATTTAAAATTAGTACCTCCTCCAACACAAGGATGGGACAAGAATGATCCCACTCCGGTTGAATTGACAATTGGTGATGATGTAGAACGCATTAGACGAATACGAAATGAAATATTACATCGCGGAGATGCAGATGTAGATGAAGACGTATTAGCAGTTTATATGTGCACATTTAAGGAAATAGCTGGTAGACTTGAGGCATATCTCGGCAAACAAAATAACGAGTTTGTATCACAGATAGAAAGTCTAGAGACCTGTTGCATGGATATTAAAACGGAACAAATGTACCTTGATAATTTGAAAGAATTAGTTGAAGGTGAAAAATGTAAGTGTTGAGAACATACCATGATTCTAAATTTTTTTTTCGGCAGTGCTACCCACGCTTTCAGACATCTTCAATTTTCAGTATGTTATAATGTATTTTGTAAAAAGTTTAGATTTCAGATACATCAACTGATCAAAAAGCTTAAACTAGTTTTATCATACAGTTCTTTCCCAACTACGACGTATAAAGTGAAATTCAAAACTCTCAAGTCAAGCTAAAAGGATGATATATAAAAATAAGGAGCGGTGGTATGATTGCCAATGAGACAACTATCCACCAAAGTTCAAATGAAATGGATGTAAGCAATTATAGGCAACCGTACTGCTTTCAAGAATGAGAAAACCCATACAATATGGTCGGATATAAATTGCCCCGACATGAAAAATATGAAACAATTCAATTGAGAAAACTAACGGCCTAATTAATAACAAAACAATTTACGAAAAACAAATATGACAGACATGAACCAACGACCACCACTGAACTACAGGCTCCTGACTTGGGACAGGCACATAAAGAATGTGGCGGGGTTAAACATGTTTGTGAGCGCTCAACCCTCCCCCTAACCTGGGACAGTGGTGTAACAGTACAACATAAGAAAAAACTATAAAAATCAGTTGAAATCATCCAAGACCTTGTTGATAAATATTCCGTATCAACTTCACAAATAATACACGATGGTCTTGAAGTATAGATTTTGCGTACTGGCGTTGTTGATCATCTTAATAACGTGTTATAGTATTCTTTTATTTGTCTTTACTAATATTACTTTGACTGTTAAGTCTGTTTTTTAAGATATCCATTCGACGTGACTCTGTACTTATGTATCCCGTCATACTTTGAACGACAAAATTATTTTATTTATTAATATTACTTTTACTGTTAAGTCTGTTTTTTGTGATATACATTTGACGTGACTCTGTACTTATATATCCCATCATACTTTGAACCACAAAATTATTTTATTTATTAATATTACTTTTACTGCTAAGTCTGTTTTTTGTGATATCCATTTGACGTGACTCTGTACTTATGTATCCCGTCATACTTTGAACGACAAAATTATTTTATGTTTACCTGTGCGAATTTCAAACGCGCGATTTTACGCCAGTACTTAAAACCTTCCATCCTTTATGGGTGGATTTTACATAGATAAATAAAATCGTATTATAAAAAAGCAAAATGAGGATGTTAAATTTGATGTATGCCTTTTTGTGCTTCTTCGTTACATTTGTTTGTTTTTATAGTGATTAAGATGATAACACAATGTTGACTGCTGTACCCCTATTTTTGACATTTTTACCTATTGTGTTTGTTTGTTTTGTTCACGCATCGTTGTCAATATAATGGAATTTGATGCGACTGTCATACAAGTGAGAGGTTTAGCTAGCTATAAAACCAGGTTCAATCCACCATTTTCTACACAAGAAAATGCCTGTACCAAGTCAGGAATATGACAGTTGTTTTCCATTCGTTTGATGTGTTTGAGCTTTTGATTTTGCCATTTGATTATGACTTATATCTAGAAATTGACTATGAGGGTCGGTTGAAAACAAAACTTTACGACAAAAGAGATGATTTCAGCTTCCCAATTGTGAATTTTCATTTTTAAACTAAGAGTTCCAAATGGTGAAGTTGAAATCATCACTTCGTAAATTTTACGGACGCCATCACGAGTTGGTTGACCGTTATGGAATATCCGTTTCACAGATGATATCGGATATGTTCCTTATGTCGTAACTACAATCCCGTTCCCTTTTCACGAATGTGAATACCGACTATTTACCCCTATTTGTGACATTTTTACCTATTGTTTTTGTTTGTTTTGTTCATACATCGTTGTCAATATAATGGAATTTGATGCGACTGTCATAGAAGTAAGAGGTTTAGCTAGCTAGCTTTAAAACCAGGTTCAATCCACCATTTTCTTAATAAGAAAATGCCTGTACCAAGTCAGGAATATGACAGTTGTTATCCATTAGTTTGATGTGTTTGAGCTTTTGATTTTGCCATTTGATTAGGGACTTTTCTTTTTAGAATTTTCCTCTAAGTTCAATTTTTTTGTGATTTTACTCTTTTTTGAAAAAGGCTTAACTCATCAGATGGATACAAATAGAAATACATCTAACAAAAACACAGAGTGGACGTGGCGGGTATTTATATATCCCAAAAACAAAAAGACACTAAGTACAGATCTGAGAGTACTCGCAGTTACTACCAGCTAGTTCAAAGCCAGTAACAACTAATGAAAAAAATCATGTATATAAAACTACGATATCAATCAGTACACAATCAACATCCAATGGATTTAGTGTAAAGACGTCGTAAATAGTCAGAGAAAAACATGACCTTGTGCAATACCAAACTATAGGTATCGACAGATTGTAGTTTCATGAAAGTACATATGTGTAATATTTAGTATGGTTTTAATTTACTGATAACAAAATCAATATTTATACCAATAAAAACAATATTCAAATATTTAATTACAGTGTTGAATAGGTAACCTTTTAGAATAAGTTTATTTAAAGGATTGATAAGTTTACCCGGATCGTATTTAAATTTCTGGGCTCGGTTTACAACATCACCTATTTTATTCATTTAGGCTTTAATATAAAAAAAATCATTTTCAATCATCAGAAATATTGACACAAATACCATTCTTTAAATAATAATTCCGTATCATTTATTTATTTTTTTATCTTGTTTGTTTGTTGTTCTGTTCAATTTCATAATGGATATAAGAAGATGTGGTATGAGTGCCAATGAGACAACTCTCCATCCAAGTCACAATTTGTAAAAGTAAACCATTATATGTCAAAGTACGGCCTTCAACACGAAGCCTTGGCTCACACCGAAGTTTTTTTTTCAAACTGGGATATGCATATAGTACAAACACTGCCTTGGAAAGTTTTTGATCAAATATATAAAAACAACAAGGAAGGTTTTTTTTTACTGCAAATAAAGCAAATTAAATTTTCTTTAATATCTTTAACAATAACTTTGATAGCTTCTCCTTTATAACTTGCACCTGCTTTACATCTGTCTTTGTTGTTCTCTGTTATGCCGATATTATTGACATCGGTGTTGTATAACTAAATACTCGCTATCGCGCATTTTCCCTTAATATTATGCCATTATATTGATCAAGGTTGTCACCAATCAAATGTAATCAGCACAAGTAATAGGCTTGTTTTGTATCATCATTCTTTTATTACGGATGCATATTCAATTTATCCTCCATTGTTTTAGTGGACAGAAAGAAAATGAAGAAGAAAAGCTACTTACGAAAGGAAACAATTAAATGGAAAGAAGGAAGTATTTTGGGAATCGGAGGCGACAAATCTCAATGTTATCAACTATGCAACTATGAAATGCACTCTGGAGAAGTGGTTCCAGTATATATTCAGGATGAATATGATATGCCTGAGACTTTAAACATTGATGATGGCAATCTTCACTATGGTATGAACGATGGAATCTTCTTTATAGTTTATCATGACAAAAATTTGAAACCTTACCAGCATAGATTTATACAGAATGCGAATCAGAAAAAAGCATATGCTGCAAACGAGTCATTAAAATCTCTGACAAGTGGTGCAATAGATCTATCCTTGACAGTAGGAGACTGTTTGCGTGATTTCAAAATATCTTGATTAACATATCTGTTTGCTAGATTATTAAGTTTCATTTAGATAAAAAAAAAATCGCGAAACTAAAACAGAATGAATTCATGATAACAAATAAATTGCATCTGTATGGAAATTTTAGAATACCAGTTCGATTAAATATATATATGATCTTCAATATGTTAATGTATTAAGTACTTAATTAGAAGAGAGGCGGTGGATACCAAAGGATTCATCAAATTCATAAGTCGATGAAAAACTGACAACGCCATGACAAAGACAAAACGAAAAACGACCAAAAGACAAACAACAATCTACAAAGCACAATATAGAAAACTAAAGGCTGAGCACCATGAACCCACAGTAAGCATGGGGTGATGGCAGGTGCTTAGGCTTCACATGTGGCTACCGTGTAAGTACAAAATCAATAATAATTCTAATTCGGTGATTTCATATTCGAGGGACAGAGGACGGGATTATGGTTAGGTTAAGACAAATGGAACATACCTGTCGTCATTTGTGAAAAAACTGAACAGAGATACCAAGCTTATAATTTTGAACGCCAGACGCGCCTTTCATCTTCAAATGACACATCAGTGCCGTTCGAAAAAAAGGCAAAATCAAGTACGAAGTTGAAGAGCAATATTGGGGCCACACATTCAATTCAGAAAGGTATTGCCAAATACAGCAACAATAAATTGTATTTAGGAAAAATTGACGAGCAAATATTTTATTCAGAGCCTTTAGCATCTTTTACTTAAAAATCTACGGTCAGATATATAAAAAGTCAACTTTATACTTTATCTAAATACTATTGTAAAGAGTTATTGAGTATTAGTAATCTACTTATTTCACTCATCCTTAACCACATTGACATATACATTAAACCTTAAGCTTCAGCCCTGTGACCTTAACTAAAGATTATGCAAAATTAGAGCAACAAAGCCTATCCTTAACCATTAACTATCCATTAAGTCTTAGATCACCCTTAGAGCCAGCATAATCCAGCATGGCACAACTCCTACAGTTTAAGACATATACCATTCTTCATGAGATGGCCTCTATCTTCTCCATCAGTAAGAAAGTCTGTTTACTACCGTAAATTGGGTTATTTTTGTTGTAGTTTTATTTTGGTTTATTTGGCGCCTCCAATGAAAGTGCCAAAATTGAACACGAAAATAAAGCAAAAATTTATACGCCAAAATCGCGTACCGGTATGGCAATATCGTAATGTTAATTGTTCGGAAAAATAGTTTATGCTGTTACAGCTTCTGTATATTTCTTACATTTCCATACATAGCCAAATATGCAAATAAATACTGGGTATAATTTGACAACAACACTATATAATTTTAAGTTAATTGTCAATTTTCTAAAATTGTTAAGAAAACACAATATGATCGGTCACTACTGTTGTGCCAAAATTAAACAAATCAATTGGTCGAAGGACCAAAATTACACACACCAAAATAAAACACATGCCTTTTAAGAGAAAACTGTCAAAATATCCTCAAGCCAAAATTTTTCCAATTTACTGGATTAGAATTTGTGGACTTGACACATCCGAAAACACAAATTGAATATCTTGTCTAGATTGAAAAGACAAGATATTCAATTTCACAATCAATGTCAATGTCTGTTCTCAGCTTTGTATTAAACGATTTCTTCACAGCTTTCGTATGACTGCAATTTAGCAGAAAATGTTCAGTATCTTCAATGTCAACCATACACACTGGATACATCGTACTTTCTCCCTACTTCGATTTTATTGCAGTTTATACACTCCTGCAAATAATAATAATAATCTGACTTTACCATTAGCTTTCAATATAGAAGTACAATCAAGTCCTGTATTAACCTATTTATTGTGAACAGTGCCAAATTTCATAAACATTGGATTTGAAAAAAAAACAAAGACTAGATTTTCCTTCTATCAATTTTGTTATAGTCTCTATGCAAAAAGTTTCTTTTTCTTTTCTCTCGTAGTAATTCCAACCTTATTTATTCGGTACTGTTTTTAAAATGTCAAATATGAATTCAAAGTCATACAATGAAAGAATATCAATCATAAATGGATACCAATTGTGAGAGGTGTTATCATTCAATGCAAGTGGTTTTTATACAAATCTTCTGTTCTATATCGTTCTGCCTCATAATTAACAAAGCCAAAGTTATCCAAAATTTTAGTATGGTATATAAATTGCTGCATCAGCTATTCGTTCGGGCACATCTTGCTGTGATTTTTGAAAAAAAGTTCGTCCAATTACTTTCTAACGAGCGTCACACAATTTAACCCAAAAAGTCAGACATGATCGTACATATGTATTCCACAATTTAATAACAATATTTGGGTTGACTCCGTTATATCCGTGCATACCACCATCCATAGCATATCACGAATATCTAGATAATTTTATACTCTGTGTTACTATACATTTTTCAAATGAGTTTCATTCAATTCCGACATTTGTATATGAAGATACAAGTTAAACATGTTTATCAGTAAATAAATTTCATCAAAACATTTTTTCATTCCTTCTATTGTTAATGAACAGAATTTTACTTTTAGTTTCACTAATACTTTTCATTATTAGCATGAGTTTCTTGTAAATTTAACAATGTAATGTAAGTAACGAGATCGCATAATACAATATGGCTATACACGTTGAAGTGGTAGCATGTGTGAAATGATCAATAACAAACTTTCCCAGAATTGTCCGTTTATAAATTTTGAAATTATAAGAGACTCCCTCAGGCAAAGTTGACCTTAGATAGATTTGGCTATTTTTTAGGTCCTTTTAGGTCATATAGCTCTTAAACTGTTTAGGTTATTATACATTCTTGGTTTTCAAATATTCGGCTTCGAGTGTTCCTGATGAAGGTAAATCCAGAAATTTTAAAGCGCTTCAGACGCATGAAATTATTTAACGTGTTGTTTTCATTTTTTACAGCACTGGGTCGATACCTCTGCTGGTGGACTATCAGTTCCCGAGAGTATCATCAGCTCAGTAGTCAGTACTTCGGTACTGACATGATCAATAACAAACCTTTCTAAAATTGTCCGTTTATAAATTTTGAAATTATACGAAACTAAGTTTTCAACTCCCTCAGGCAAAGTTGACCTTAGATAAATTTGGCTATTTTTTAGGTCCTTTTAGGTCATATAGCTCTTCAACTGCTCAGGTTATTATACATTCTTGGTTTTCGAATATTCGGCTTTGAGCTTTCCTGATGAAAGTAGATCCAGAAAAGCGCTTCGGACGCATGAAATTATCTAACTTGTTGTTTTCATTTTGTACCAATTCAAAAGCCCAAATGTTGGTTCTGATACAAATAATGGATTGATGTAAAGTTTATATATAGTGTCGGGGATAATATACCACCATATCTAACTCCCTGTTACTCATTAAATAATCTTGAAAACTGACCCTTTCATTTATCACTTGACCTCATCTTCCGATACTACTTGTATACCAAAAAAAACCAGTCCTTATCCTTCATTCCCTAATGAAACAGTATTAACATCAATGAGTCATGCCACACAACATCAAAGGCTTTGGAAGCATAAATGATAGCTACAACAAAAATATCTTACAGTTTTGTCATTGGCAATAGTCTTAGTAAATAATAAAGCTGCATTTGTAGGAGACGGACGTTTTGCAAAACCACGTTCAAATTTATTTTGACGCTTATCTAACTAAGGGGATATTTTATAAAAATGTATTGTTTCAAACACTTCTCCTATAATACGGCAGTCAGTGATACATCTGTAAGAATTTGGGTCTTGTTTTCTTCTTGACTATTATGTATAGATATAAGAATATCAGACTGAACATTTTCAATTATAACTCTTTCTTTTAAAGCACGATCAAAAAGAAGTTTTAAAATAATAGGAACTATTTGTCCACCAAATTTCAAATGTTCACTCATTAAATGTAATTCGTCAGGTGACTGGTCATTTTTCATTTTCTCTAAAGGGTTTTGAAATTTCCCCAGACGTTGCAAATTGATGATATTGCTTCATTGTTTAATCTTATGTTCTGTTGCCTTTAGTTTAGATCCACTGCAGTATTATAAGCAGTGAGATATGCACACGGAATAAGGATATTATCACAAGGTACTCGAAATGTTTTTAAGTGATGTATGAGCATAAGATCAATATGAAAATTGTATAAACATTTTTCGGACATTATGTTATCAAGTATTATGTCATATAAAATGGTTCAAAGGGGAAAAATGATAGAATATTATTTATTTTTCCGGTGGAAAACAATTAAAACCGAACTTTTTAAGGAAGTTTTCATAAATTAATTTAGTTGAATCAACTATTGAGCAAGTGTGAGAACGGTATTGGTTGTGGTACTACACATTGATGATTATAATCACGTAGATACATGTAAAGTACTATATTTTTCTCTGATCAACTCCCTTTGTTTATTTACCACTAGACACAGTTGAACGAGTATTATAAACAGTACTCTTAGCTCTTATTCCTCATGATTTGTTGTATATGTTGTGTACAAGTTATCATTTTGTACAAATTATAATTTGTACAAAAAAATTGTACAAATTATAATTTGTATTTTGACTTTTTACAAATTGTAATTTGCACAAAAAGTGCTTGTACAAATTACAATTTGTACAAAATTTGACTAAAATTCACTTATAACTTGTACAATAATTTATAGTATGGATTTTGTTATAAAAAGGTATTGATAAACACTATAAAATTCTTTTTTGATGACCACACAATAAACCTTATTTATAAAATACAAAAATACCCAGATGGAGACAGGAAATATAATTGATACATGCATGCCAGTTAATTCTGATAGTACACTAGAAATTTGTCCCAGTGACAATTCTGATAGAATAATAAAAATTGACCACAGTGACAATTCTGATAGTATAATACATATAATAGAAATTAGCCTCAGTGACAATTCTGATAGTATAATAGAAATTGGCCTCAGTGACAATTCTTATAGTATAATAGAAATTGACCCCAGTGACAATTCTGATAGTATAATAGAAATTGGCCTCAGTGTCAATTTTAATAGTATAATAGAAATTGGCCACAGTGACAATTCTGATAGTATAATAGAAATTGGCCCCAGTGACAATTCTGATAGTATAATAGAAATTGACCCCAGTGACAATTCTGATAGTATAATAGAAATTGGCCCCAGTGAAAATTCTGATAGAATAATAGAAATTAGCCCGAATGACGTTGACGAAAACGAAACAGAAATTATCAAAACTTGCTGTGGGGGGGGGGGGGGGGGGGGGGGGGGAGTAATGTCATTATACCAATTCCTCAGTATGATCGTGCCCCAACTGATCCTCTAAATATC